CAGAGAGCGAAAGTGCAGCTGAAGCGGGGATGTCAGTAGGGGTTACTTTCTTTCTCTGATTCTCTACTGTACACATAGTATATGCTATCGTAGTCAGCCACCATATACGCGGCGCGTGCATACACGGTCGATGTGTGTATATGTGTGTGTGTGTGTGTGTGTGAGTGTCTGTACCCTCTTTTGCGCTGTGTATCACCGGTCAATACTGTATTTACCATATGCACATTGGTGTGTGTTTGAGCATGGAAGGGGCGGGGGGAGGTGGGGTGGTGTATGTGTGCCTGACGGTACCCCCGGGGTGCACGCATATCGGTGTTTAGACAAAAGGTGTCCACTCTGTGGAGCAACAGAGTGCTGAGGTTTGGTTTCTCTGTTACACAAATGTTTTTTTTTGGCGATCTGCTCGGGCTACGGTCTGCATTATGTGTGTAACTGAGATGATGATGATAATCCGCCGATCTTGTAGGGTTCTCGAGCTGCGCAGTTGGATAACTTTTGCGTTTCCTCGGACCAATCCCGGTGGTCAGCCTACTGGCAGTCCTAACGTTCGTTTCCTCTCCACCCTGAAGCAATTAGCATTTTGAAATGGTACTATGATAATAGATGCACTAGGCAAAACATTGTTCAAAAATTTCAAAATGTCCTTACTTATCGTAATCAGCTTGGTAGTGTCTTCGTTTCGCATCATCCCGAAGGATTCAGTAGTTTAAATGGACCGAAACGTCTTATCTCACTCTTATCTTTTTTCCTCATACTGTTCATTCACGCTGCAATCTATCGCGCTTTTGCCATTTAAGCTTCCAGGAGCAACCCGGTTGCTGCAATCGGTCTAGTAACATTGTGGTACTTTTGCTGAAATCACCAGGCAAAGTTTTGACCGTTACGAGATGTTGTTCTTGATCACTGAAGCCATCTTGCGGGCAATCAGACTTTCGTTCCATGTCTTAAAGGCTGCAGCAACTCAGTGGTAATCCTAGCAAAAGCAGCGGGCAGAGCTTTAACCATTTCAATTGGTTTCAAGTATTACGTTATTCTGAGATTCAGACTTCTAGATTAGGGTGAGGAAATATCTTAACGAACAGGACAGACGCACAGTTACATCACTAAATTGTTAATGTAAAAGTAATGGCTAGCCATTTCATGGTCTGGCTCTCCATCAGTGGAGTTTAATAACTTTTTCCATCGACTAAGAACTACAAACTTGCGCGCTCGCTCCGCTCGTGGATGAATGATCACTCCAACATTCCCGAAGATCTTCCTACTGTTCTTTTAACATGCATTGTGAATATCGTATTTTATCTGTTCGGTTCGTCCATCTATTGTCTGACATCCTTTGCGATGAGTTACTCATCTTCTCCTGTTCGTATACATCTGCGATCTTCTGTTTCTCGTTTTATGCAACACAACAGCACAGTTTTCACTTCACAGAAATTTGTCTAAACAGAATCTTTTATGTTTATCTTGGTATATGACAAAGTTTGACTCCTCTCCATTAGGCTACAAGTCTGAAATTAACTTCCGTTTCTTTTTTTTTCCTTTGTGACTCTAGATTCACCGTAATGACGCTTGAAGCGTCTGACTCGTAGCAGCTCGTCACGGAAATGCGTAAATTCATCACCGATTCCCTATTTTGAACTCAGCCATAGGAGCGTTTTTTCTAAAATATGTGCGATCAGAGTAAAAGTTACCAATTCGATATAGGTTATGTATCATTAATAGTCTCCTTAGATTCACTGCGGCAGTCCAAGAGATTTAAGAAATTTGATATCGCATATTACTGCAGATGAGGGTAATTCCTGACCAGATGAAAGTAATTTCCCTCCAGACGAGGATGATTTTCGAATGCTGGCTCCCCACTTCGGAGTTTCATATGACAAGTACAGACTGAAAAATTCCAGAGATTTTTATTTTAGTAATGTTTTCGACTGATTTGCCAAAAATCACAGACCAGTGTGGACCAAGGACGGCGGACAGTCCGGGAATTCGTGTTTCTGTCTTTCTTTTTCGACTTAAATCAGTAACTTAGTGCCAAGTAGCTCTACTCTCTGACTCAGATCAATGAATTCTGTCTTTGAAAAACCGATTCCTTCTTAATCCCTTGATTCATTTCGTTAGTAAATTAATACGAAATATGCTGGGAAGCCAAAAACACCTTCATCTTACTTATAAACAGCCCTCTAAAAATGAAGCCTCTGACAGCTTCGCCAGGGTGTGGTTGCTGTTGGCATGTGCTAGCACTCAGACTACTTTCTAGTGCTCTTCCTTTCACAGAGAATGAATACGGAGGGGCTCTGGCGTTTAAAACGATTTCGGATAATTCGAAAATTCCTGTTTCCTGTTGCGTGGCTTTGCCTGAAAAATTGATTATTTCGATGCTTCATTTTTATTAAAAATTATGCTTTTTTTCTCTCCGGAAATAATTTTTGTCCCGTTCGTTTTCTCTTTATTGCGCTTTCTCGATTTATATCCTCCACAACAATTATTGCTTTTTTTTTGTGTTGCTTCACTTCATTTTATGCCACTCTTTCCTCGTTTATTTTTAACTTCATATTGGTAAATATTAACAAAATTCAAAATCTCCCATACAGAGTCCACACTTTTCGAAAGACGGAAACGCTCGGCAATGGCTCTGGTTTGAAAGCATTTTGTCAACAATGAGCATAAATGCAAGGCTGTCTGCAGCTGCTTCATTCAAAGATGACTTCTGCTTCTGAAAGTCTTGCCAGTGGGTGGTTACTTTCCGCAGTGTACAATGTGCTACCACCTTCATCTCTCACAGGTTTTGAGTCAGCTATGATCATACTCCGAGCCCGCATAGTTCCCGATGTGTTGCAACATAATTTTCGTATGTATATAATATAATTCAAGGAACAGATAGTCTGTCGTTTCGCCTAATACTGATCTTATTGCCATCCCTCACCGGGTAAGGCGTTTCGCTGTGCATTTTCAGCTCCATGCTGAGCATACGGTACTCTTTGTTACCCATCGCGCGTTTCCGATGTTTACACTCATCCCCCCTAGTTTCTTTTTTTTTTTTTTACAGTAATTTCCGGCACCAGGGCATATTTTATGCTCTTTTGTTGAATTATGCTTTTGTTTTCGCAGTTGCAGCTTACACAATTTATCAGAAATTTTTATGCAGCGAAATTTTCCCTATCTTTTTGTAAACATTCAGACTTTCCGTCACAGGACTGATGTGCAGGATATCATTGCGACCATTCTAGAAAGTAAGATCCGATGGGCAGGATGAGTTGTTCTCCTTGTAGACAATCAACGGACTTCAAGTATTAGTGAAAGGTGTTTCGCAAGAAAGCAGCTGACCATTCGGGCGTGCCCGAAGTAGTAGTGCACATACATCGAGCAGGTGCTGAATTCTCGGAGGTGTGCAGCCCAGGATCGAAAAGCTAGCATAGCGGCGCCGGTGTGTATGAGCATTCCAGTAATATCACTAACAAGGGATACCCATACTGATAGCTCAGATACGGTCAACTAACGCTGGTATTTTTGGAAATTTTCTTAGTAGTCAGAGTTGGGAGGAAAGGAGGAACGAAGGAAAAAAAATGATATGTAAGAGAAGAATTATTTCTCATTAAAAATAAAAATACTGATTGCGAAAAATTTTGATTATGTGGAAGAAAAAATTATTGCTTAAAAAACATCATCAGTGTTAAGAGAAAGTGCACACTAATCCAGCAATGAAGCACGTCTGCAAAGGAAAGGTGGTGAGGGCGGAGGCGGAAAAGGACATTGTGATATGCAGGGAGATTTTTTGGTGGCACCGTCTCTGAAAAACTTTTATGTGCGATTCATTTATATTTTTAAATCGTTTATTATGCAAAATGTTTGAAACAAAAATTGAAATTTTTTGACCAAATGTTGCTCGATCGTAACACATTTCACGCCATCCCTGCAAATGACAATTCTGCCTGCTGGCGATTGTTTACTCGAGTTCTTATAGGGAAAAATGCTGGATATTATATTGCTTCCCCCATCACATTTCCTTGTAGAGTATAATCACTTGATATCTAAAGTGACTATTAGTTCACTACTGATTCATATACGGAACATTCTAGTGGTTTAGCCGACAACCATGTCATCGACTTCGGTTTTAGCCTTTTTAGCATCCACAGTACGTGGTGTATTCAAGTAAGCGAATCGGCCCAGCGCGTCGATAGTCCTCCAAATGTCCTTTTTGTCACTACCTTTGGTAATATTATTAGTTGACTGTATTCTGTAACAAGCGTCAAAGAAATATTTATAGAAATACGGTTTTTGAGCACTATTGGTGGTATTACTCGCTTTTGTCAAAAACAAATACGTACGATGTGTTTTGTTAAAAAGATGGAAGCAGATGCTTTTGTCTTTCAGATACTCCTGTCCTCCCGTCTCCTTCCAACCTCCCCGCTCCTACATCCCGTTCATCAGTACTGAAGTAGCGCAAAATCAAACAATAGGTGGTGCAAAATTATGATTTATAATATTTATAATTCAGTAAAGAAAGACGGGCGGGTAAGGTGGCCAAGGGGGATGGAGGGGAGGGAAGTTAAAAAACGAGACGGAAGTCCGGTCTGGCTTGACAGCGCATCGAAATTCAAGCTATACCTTCATTCTAGTCTTTCAACTTTCCTTTTCCAAAATCCAAAGCTAGGATTTATAGTAACTTTGTAAAATTACATGCGTCGATTTTCACGGATGAGATGAAATTAGATGTGGATTCTTGCGAAGTTTTTCCCCTGATATCTCTGCATTCTTGTCCTCCTTCTTTTTCCACTTTTGTTCTTTTCGAAACATAATATTTGCGTAACCGAACCTGCGTAAAATTCAGGTTGTGTCAGCCAAGGCCTGGTTTCGTTTGTTTTTCCATGCCTCAATTTTGTTCAGGTACCTGCAGTGTGCGTTTTCAGGTGCATATAATTCGATACTGAAGTGGAGATTTCATCTACATTCGCACCGCGGACGTATAGTTTGCAGTAATCTTGCAATTTTTGAATGTCTTAGTGATGGCGCTGCTTCACAACGATATCAGTGGCGGGCATGTAACACCAGATGGTGTGGTATTCCATCACCAGATGAGCGCGGAACATGATGAACTGAGGCGCCTGGATGAGGAACTCCGCGATGCCACCTTCGTCAGCGACCATGATGCAAGTTTCATTCACTGCTTCTTGCTTTCGTTCAACTTTTTCACCTCTCCAAAGGCTGCTTTCTGATGTTTGATTTCCAGCGGTTTTTTAGTTGAGTTATTATTTTTCTCGGTGGTACTTTACCCGTTTGAAAGTACTTTTTTGGGGTGAAAGCATTTTGCTAAGAAGTACTTTTGGTCGCGGGTATTTTGTTCAGGATAGTTTTTTAGCTGATGACATTTTGTTGAGAATACTTTTTAGTTGGAGTTATTTTGTTGAAACTACTTAAATGAGGATATTTGACTGAGGTTATTTTTACATAGTTTAAGATATTTTTTCATGATGAAAAAAATGCTTTGGATGAGGGTATTTACATTGGCCATTAACATCTCAGAAGCAGCTGCAGCCCTGAATTATATTTCACAGATCTCAAAATCTACTTTTGCACTTCACTTTCTGTTTGACACCGAATTAACATCCATCCTCTTCACAACTGTAAGTGTTCTAGTAGCAAATAATTCTTGAGAATGTTGTCATTGATATCCTATTCCAAAATTTGCCTACAAAAAACCTAAAAGTGGCGGAATTTTTTTTTTTTCGTTAGATTATTTTATCTTGAAATTATTCCAAGTCAGAGCTTGACATAACTGTCTGCGCCTGATGCGCGGT